CCCAATATACTGTATTAGTTAATTTTAGGTAAAATGTGCTAAAAATATAAGAACACTATTTTGAGCATAATCTTTTTATCAGTTGCAACAGGAAAAAATGCAACAATGTTAACTGTTACAAATTCTTTCTTTTGTGTTTGGTCGCTTCTGTACATATTGAAGATTTAAAAAAAATTAGAAACAGTCAAAATTAAAATTATTTATAGACCGAATGCGAATTTCTTGCTTTTATTTCTCATGGTCCTGTTGTTCACACTCCTCAACTTGACGAGTTACTACTAACTTCTTCCAGATCATTTTTTTTAAACTTTCATATGAAAGAAGTGTGTTTGAGCTGGGTAGTATCGTGTGATTTTGGAAAGGTAAAGCCGAACCTTTTCAACAACTTTTTCAAAACTTTTTATTAAACTTAACAGAAAAGCATCAACAAAAAGAAAAGGAAATTCCAGTTTGAACATCCAATCTACGGAAGAAAAAAAAAAAAATAGTGTTTGAGAGCGAGGTGTTCTCTCCTCTTTGGTTTCGCTCGACGGGTTCCGTGGGCACGCTCACTAACAGCGTGCCTCACCGCACCGCCTGCAGCAGCTTGAGCATCGTCCTGGCCTCGATGAGGCACCGGGAGTAGCGGGTGGCGCAGCGGGCCTCGTCCCCACTGGACTTCCCCAGGCGCTGCGCGGCGCGGAACTCGGCCGAAGCGTCGTCGTCGCCGTCCTCGAGCTTGCTGCGCCTGTCGGGAAACAGACCAGGAACGTCAGAAAGTCGTCAACGGACCGTGAAGTCGTCGACACGACGCGTATCGTTTGGATGACCAGGATGACGACTCACTCGACGAGCCGCAGGATGGCGGCCTCGTGCGGCCGCAGCGTCTCCGACTTGGAGGCGGCGAGCTGACACACCAGCTTCCGCGCGCACCCGAGGGGGTCCTGGAGCAGCACCTGCTTGAGCACGTGGCCGACGGCGCGCCGCATCGGGCCCCACTCGGACTGCTCCTGCCCGCGCTCCTGGTGGCCGAGATAGCGCTCGTGAGTGACCTCAGGGTTTGCAGACCAGGGAAGGCCGAGGGGTATACTTCACTATGAATTCAAGCGTACACCAATTTTTCTGTGTTTTCAAATTTGCTCTGTTTTTTTTTAATCATATTTTAAAACTGATTTGCCCTTGTTTTGTTTTCTGTGTTTTGTTTTTTATTTCAGTGTGCATTTTTTTTTTTTTTTTAATTAGTGTGTCCCTTGGGGGAGGCCCTTCCTCCGAGGGGTCTTTCACTGAAAAAGTCAGTGTACACCCTCAGAAAGAATCAGAACAAAATCATGAAAAATCATGAAAAAATCAAGAAAAAATCATGAAAAATCATGAAAAAATCATGAAAACATCAACGAAAAGTCAGAAAAAATAACCACAAAAAATATCAGAAAAAATCAAGCAAAACAGAAAAATCAGTGTACGCTAGAATTTATAGTGAGGGCCCTCGCCTTACTCTTACCTGCAGCACAGCGCCGACGTCCCTCTTGCCGATGGCCCTGGTGAGCGCCCGGGTGGCGGCGGCGACGGCGGGCCGCGCGGGCCGGTTGGTGATCTTGTTGTAGTCCTGGGCCAGCATGTGCAGCATGTACATGCCGCCCAGCCCGAGCGCCAGCAGGATGGCCAGCCGTATGAAGTGGTGGCCGGCTCGCACCATCCCGGCCAGCGCCAGCGCCGCCAGCACCCTGCGCCAGGACATGGTGGTCGCCAGGAGGGAGGTCGACGACGACGACGTGAACGCGCTCGCTCGCACCGCTGGACTGGGTGAGGCCCCGCGCGCGGACCAGGTCCTGGACCAGGGGGGTTGCGTCCCGCGGCAGACTCGTCCCCCAGGGGGGCGGGGGGAAGGGCCTCGGGTACGGGGGCTCCTGCGACATGTCGCAGAGAGAGGGGA